CTACATATTCTAAAGTCTTTGTTGTTTTCTAAGCCTCATGACTAAGGCTGTTGAGTACCACCTCCAACTGGAACAAAATTAACACCTAGGGTGCCCTTTCTACAGCACCTTTTTTCTTCTCCACAGTTARTGGAATTTTGATGCTCAAGCCTGTATCTAGATCTCCAGGTCATCAGGCCGAGGTCGGCTGCTGGCACGGCTGCTGGCTCTGCTTGAAGGTCGCTGGTCCACGATGGCTAGTGGCTGTAGTTCATGTCCAGCAGCGATTTTTTTAGAATTCTGGTTGTCATCCGGGAAATCGAAAGGCTGGGCGTGGGAGTTAGAGATGGTGCTTCCTGCCTGCCCCATTCGGTTTTGTTCTGCGCTGTAATTAGCCCAGTTTTGCTCACTTGCTTGCTTGTTATAATTACGGCATGAAGAATTGTTTCTGTCACCAGTAACCAGCTTGTACCCAGGAGGAGACATAGGTGACAGGGGAGCGGTTGGTGAAGAGCAGCCATTGAAATACGCATATTTTGGAGATCCACAGTCTTTTGAGGGGCTCAGTGGGCCAGTGGTAGCGTGGTAAGGATCACTCCTTCCCTTCACACGATCCTTAACGCCCTTGAARAAGACATAGAAGAGTTCGATGATATTCAAGGCAAGAGACACCAAGGACACCACCAGCATGAAGATGATGAAGATGGTTTTCTCTGTGGGGCGAGAGAGGAAGCAGTCCACTTGATGTGGGCAGGGATCTCTTTTGCAAGTGTAGACAGCACTCAAGCTGAATCCATAGATGTACCACTGGATCAGCAAGAAGGCCACCTCGAAGACAGACTTGAAGAGGATACTGATGATGTAGGTTCTCAGCAGCCCTCCTCGCATCTTCACTTTACCGTGCTCCTCAATGCCATACTTGAACTTCTTTATTTCGATCTGCTTCAAGTGCATCTCCACGTTTGCCCCATCAGTTTGGGCAACTTTGAGCTCCTCCTCCTTCTTGTTCAGTTTCTCTTCTTTTCTCATCACATAGAACACATGAGCCAGGTACAAGAGTGTGGGTACGGACACGAATATGATCTGCAGGACCCAGAAGCGCACATGAGAGATTGGGAAAGACTTGTCGTAGCAGACGTTTTCACAACCAGGTTGTTGGGTGTTACAACGAAAGGCAGACTGCTCATCACCCCAAGCTGACTCAACTGCTGTCCCCAGTAGCAGGATTCGAAAAATGAAGAGAACAGACAGCCACACCTTCCCTCCAGCAGTGGAGTAGGCTTGGACCTTGTCAAGGAGTTTGCCTAAGGCACTCCAGTCACCCATGATGCCTGGATACCTCCTGAAAAAAAAAMCAAGAGACAACTCAATGATTACAGATTGTAAATTATTAGCTTAATAGATGGCATCTTKTTTTTAGCTGGCAGCTGAAATATTGCAAATTGTTTCCTTTTAGCCTCCATCAAAAACAAAACAAAAACAAAGTTCTTCCTAGCACATTTCCACTCCCAGAGTCTCACACTTTTTATTTTTTTTAAGATAAAATTTGATCTGAGAAGCAACAGAGCCTATGTACAGAGGCTGAACTGCAATCTTAACTTGCAGAAGATGTATTACTTGCTCAACTACCAAATTGCCATGTGACCTGAGAAGCTGTCTGTGCTAAGTGCCTCTGCTTATTTTATTTGTTTGATAAATGACGACAGTTCTTGTCTCGTAGGCTTGTGTCTGGATGCATGCCTAAGCAAAATGCTGATGTGTTATTCAAAATATAGGTATCTAAGAACTCAGGCAAGAGCACTCAGGAACACACACACATGCACAACCTCGATCCCCAAACTTTGATGCTAGGATGAATCACTTTATTCCTAATTTTACTCTGCAATGTGTCTTCATGGTACATTAAGAGTAATTAGTGCATAGTCTGTATCATGGTTATTTATACTTTTCTCTCTCCTTATGCAATAACATATATTTCAAGTCTGCCTTCTACCAGGAAAAAAAATGTTATGCTGAAATACACCATTTGGACAGTATCTCATTATAAACAGGAACCTACTTTCAAAAACAAAAACTAAATATGCATCACATTTCTAGGTAAAAGTTCAATTTGGCCAGGCATCGTGGTATCGTGGTACATGCCTATAATTCCAGTGACTTGGGAGGCTGAGGCAAGAGGATCTCAAACTTGAAGCCAGCCTCAGTAACTAAGCAAAGTTCTAAAAGGAGTTAAGATGTGACATAGCAATAAAGTACCTCTGGGTTCAACCCTGAATATCAGAAAAAAAAAAAAAAATCAATCTGTCAGTTTGTCTCCATACTACTTATAGACTGTGAAGTGAAAAAAGAGGAAGCTGAAAGGCTGTAAGATATATTCAGCCACTTGTACAGCCAGAAGACTTATCATCCTTAAGTCAAAGCCCTTTAATACATTGCAATGGCATTTAAATTATAYAAATATAACACCTGAAATATCAGCTACTCAGGAGGCTGAGGTCGGAGGACCTTAAATTTGAAACCAGCCTGGTCAGCATAGCAAGAACCCATTTCAAAAGACAAACAAAAAGGTTATAAGCATAGTAGACAGTAAGACTGCACTAAAGCCAGAAAAGTTTCCATGCTTTGATATGGCCAATCTAACAAGTGCTGAAACATGAGAAAATATGACATGTGTCAGGCTACCACAGAGAAGATTGGTTAATTTTCAGGAGAGTAGTGATTGGAGGGTTTAGAAGTGAATAAAGTAGACAAATGTTATTTAATAATGAAAAACAAGCAAAACAAAGACATTCCAAGCTTTCAGTAATAATGAATTGACAAGTGCAACTAAAGTAGAATTATGTAGGCTTCTTACAAATGTGTTCGCTATCTGAATATAAAGGGGTTTCTCATCTGGTTTTGAACTTGGAGTCATATTCTCCTGTAAGTAAGAAGTAAATGAAATACAGGGGTGTTTTCCCCTCACCATCCAGTATTACATTTCTTTCTAATGCTTGTATGTCATAGCTATGGAGATCATGAAAAAATGAAATGGAAATCTGAAAATCTGACTCAGGGTTTCCTGGATGAAACAAAGAAGAGATGGTAGATCCATAAAGCCAAATTATATACCAGCTAGTAGTAGATGGGTATCTGATAATATGACAGCCCAGGGATTGGTACACAGATGAGGAAATACAAGTGTGAAGTGGGCGGGCAGGTTACAGAAATAATGCTTTCCCAATGATCATAAAAGAGGGAGCTTTCCTTCTACTTTTAGGAAGGGCCATTTTGTATTCTGATGTGGCAAACCAGAGAGTGAAATTCATGTACAAAGAGTAGTCAGACAAGAACAAAGGCTTCTCAGGTCGACAAAGGGTTAAATAGCCAAGGGAAGGCTTGAAGTGAGAGGAGTAATTTAGTCTTGATGGTCAGTTTATGTGAGAGAATGTAAAAGAAAAAGCCTACAATTTAGCAGAAAATACTAGACTGGGAGTGAAGAAGTACAGGCCACGAGGGTCAAACAAACACAACAGAATTTTTGGAGCCATATCAATAGACAGTTTCTATGTGATGATGTGTAAATTGGCTCCAATTCGGTTCGTAAAGAATTACAATATTTTGCCAGTGTCATCTGCTTTTGTTCAGATATTCTAATTGTTGGGGGGGAAATAACAAAAACAAGTATAAAATGATAAGCTATTTGCATACATCTCATAATATTCAGACAATAATAGATCTCAAGGCAAACTAAACATGGTTAGAAATACAGCTGGGCACAACAGCAGTTTTCATTTTAGTCAGTGTCTCATCATTATTCAAAGTAAAATGATTGTGTAGATGCCTGTGGCAGTTCACCCCTGAGTTCTTCACATTCTATAGAAAATGAAATTTGACTTTCACACAATTCTAAGATTCCACTATGCTATAGGGTGTGAACTAGTTGACTTGGTACTTGTTCTTTTAAACTATACCATCAATTTAATTGCAGTGTTGTCTTTTCTTTACACACCCACACAGTAGTCATTTGCATTAATGAGTTAGACTCTTTCATCTGAATAAGATATGAATTATCCAATTGGACACCTTGTATTCTGTAACATGTAGATACCTGTCATTACCACTATCATAGAGACCATCAAATGTTTCATGTGATGGTTCATCTTGCAACTCCCAAGGAGGTAACAAAAATAGCAAGCTTTTTACTGGTAGCTGTTCACTTGGCCAGGAACCAAGTATCCTTTCAACTAGTTATTCCATCCCTTAACCCTGGTTTAATATTTTAATTTTCCAAGTCTTAGTTGAAACATTAATGTTCTTTCATTATAAGGTAAAAGCATGCTTATGTTTACAGAATCCCTGGCACTGGTTTACAGACTATATATTGCAAGAATATTCACCAGGAGACAGGCACACCGTTCTTTATTTCATTCAGGAATCTGGGCAGCTGAACATATCCTGTATATTCATGCCTATGCCTCTGCGTTCCTATGATGCAGCTTTATTTGTAGATCATGATCTAAGGGGTTGTGTACAGTTCTTATTAGGTCTTTTTTTGMGAGATGGAAATCTTACTAAAGTTCCCAGGCTACTCTTGAACTTGTGATTCTGCCTCAGCTTCAGGTATAGTTGAGTTGGGTTTACAGGTGCGGCCACCACTCTTAGCTAGTAGTAGCAGATCTTGACAGCAGCTGGATAACACCATGCCTTCTGTATTCCATGTTAGGTCGCATTTTCATTTGCTGCATGGCCCCATAGACCAGCTGCTCAAAGCTACAGTCACCCAGTGTGACCTCCCTAAGGACCTTGTCCCTTCACAGTGGTTCCTGAACTGCATGACAATCACTTGGCACATAACATTCCTGGCCCTCACCAGTTGGATGAAGCTAGACTTCTGGAGGGTGGGGCCTGGGAAATCAGCTTTTAATTTTTTGTTATTTTTTTGAACAAATGTCCCAGGTGATTCTGAAGTAAGATTACAGAGAAGCAAAGAGTGATTTCCCAGCATTTTATTTTATTTTTTCCTGTTCAAAATATTTAAGACTGAGGCAAATTTCAGAGAAATAGAACAGACAGCACATCTAACAAGTCAAAGCACTAATAAGAACAGTGGTTCTCTGGGCACTGGGTCTCTCACTCCCTGCATCTTTATCTGCCACTCGATGAGAGGACAGTGACTCAATCTCTTTAATCCAAAGGAAATTTCTTAAAAATTAAACTTCAGTTTTTAATTACTTTTGTCTGTCCCTTTTGCTAGAGMCTCAAAAACAAAGGCTGTAGCCAAGTGTTTTCATGTCACTAATATCCTAATAATTTTTTTTTTTAATTTTGTGTGGTGCTGGGATTGAACACAGGATCTTACACATACTAGGCAAGCACTTTACAACTGTGTTACACCCTCATCATATTATTAGAAAATATTTTACTTTTAATTTTAAAAAAGAGACAACCATAATGGTGAGTGGAGACACAAATAAAATATATAGTATTATTAATAACTAAGGCAGGGTTGCATTTCTTTCCCTTCCTTTCTTCCTTCCATATAGGGGATTGAGCCGGCGGCACTTTACCACTTAGCTTTATCCCCAGCTTTTTAAATTTTTGAGATAGGGTCCTACTAGTTTGCTGAGGGTGGCCCCAAACTTAAGATCCTCCTGCTTCAGCCTCCTGAGCCATTGGGATTATAGGTGTGGGCCCAGATCTATGAGTTTCTCATATATTAAAATCAAAAGTTTTATGCCCCACACCCTCCAATGCAAACTCTCCTAATGCTTTTCTTTTACCTTTGATAGTAAAGACCCCTTGTTCCTAGTAATAAASGTCTTCTGAGTAAGTTCAGATGTGACTATCTCTCTCCACTAACACCACAGCAGCTATTCCCTTTGATAATATTCAGATGCACACATGATTAATATAATCCATATCCTGCCCATCAGGGACGATCTACCTTCCAAAAGTAACCGCAGTATGACCCATTCTTATAATTGTTTTTGCTTGTCTTTGCTTTTAGCCCGATCTCAGCCATTACTACACCTCTTTTCAATTTTCATGTCACTACCTTGGTCACTGTGATTGCCCACCTATTCTCAAACAGACAGTCCAAAAGGAAAAACACAAAACAAAAGAACCATCAAAGACCCTGATCTTACAGCTTACTTCTTCCCTCATTTCAGGCCTTACTTCATAGCCAAATTTCCTGACCACCAAATATGAAAATAGAAGCGTCCTTTCCACAATCCTGTCACTTCCTATTCCCCTTGTCCCACTTTAGAATAGCTCTGACCTCTACTCAAAATAGCATATATTTGCTTATTGTTTGTCTCCTTTCATAAAGTCTTACTGAGTGGAATGTGAGCTCTGGAAGGGAGTTTGCTCAGTGCTGCATTCCCAGTGCTTAAAAAAGTAAGAGATGCTGCATGAATCTATCCTGAATGAGTTAAACAGGGCCGTCCAACAACAACAACAACACAACAACAATAACAAAAACTAATCTCCTGGGGCCTGCACTATGCAAAGAAAAAGACCCCCAGGTCTCCTTATTTTTTTTTTTTTAATTCTTTGGGAGTCTCTTAAATATGGTAATATGTCTCAAACTTCTGATTCATTAAGGAGGACTTTAGAAGAAAAGATTATTGTCAGCATCTTTTATTACACTGTTAAATTTTCAAGGGACAATTGCTACAATACAAGAGCATCGTTTGTTGAAACAACAGGCTTCAAATTGTTCCTGGACAGGCAATAGGAATGAAGTAAGGAAAGAGCTTTCTAAATTTATGAGATAGAGATTCTAGTTATGGTTAGTATACGTGAAGAACTGCACTAGGTATCGTGGATGTTTATTCAGATTCACTGTTAAGACATAAAAATTAAAACAGAGCAAAAAAATAAAAATGAATAAAGCAACAACAACAAAAGTCACCCTGTACTGTTATCCCCCTAATTCAGGGATATTCTAAATTTGATAATAACACATGATTTTATTGTAGCCAAGAACACTATTGCAAGAAGAAACAGCCTATTTAAAATTGTGTTTACTTCAAGAATGACAAATATGAGGGAAGGTTAGGACTCTGGAAAGGGAAGAACAGAATTGATATTAAACCCAGTTAATGTAACATTAACTGAGTCTAGGCAGAGAGTTATTTGAATCAGATATCACAGAAAACATTCCCAGTTCATTTGACAACACCCCACCTTAGCTTCCTTATACCTGGATAGTAAGCCTAGTTCTCTGGCCTATCAAATGTATTTGATGGAAACATCTATTCAGTTAAAAGTTCTGCCGCATGATTCCCTGATTATTCTCCCATTCCTTTGTGTAAAGATCAGTTATCTTTACATCCCAGAGGTGTGTGATGGGATTGTGGCACTGAACTTCCAATTTTACTTGTGGTAGTGGTGGTAGGAAGCAGCAACACACTAGAACAAACCAAAAAAGTTTCTTTCCCTAACTTGTATTCCTCCTTTTCAGTCATTCCATTATCAGCTTCCACGGAATGAGGTGAGATGGTGGTGGAGAGATTCTATCCAACGAGTGGAGAGCTCTATTGAGAGCTTTCCTAGTTCAACAGCTATCACTCAACTCCCCCACCAAAAAGTTTCTTAAGATCAACTTAGGTGTGCCAAAGAAAAACACTGTCAGAACCCTTAGGCTCAAAGCTATGCACTTCAATTGTGATCCAGTACCTTTAAAAAACAACAACAACAAACTATAACAGCTTATTTCTATCAGTTCTTGATGTTTCTATTGTCCCTACCCTCACTTTCACCTCCAAATTGGTGCCTTTTAATCAACAATCTTACTATTATTTTGTAATCACATAAGCACATCCTTAAGATAATCACAAGTTTATAAACAGTCAGCACTGAATGAGAATGCATGCAAGTGAAGCTCTTAGTAAAACCTCAATAAAGTTTACCTATTGTTCTTTAAAAGATCCTTAGATATTGCTCATTTATTTTCTAATCTTTGTATCTTAACTAAAATGATGAACAAACATACATTTTCTAAAAATTATTTAGAAACTTGTGGAAATTTTGATGTAAAATTCAAGGCATTTTACAAAAAAAAATTAACCATGGTTTGAATTTTGGCAAAAATTAGTCTATACACATACAGCTAAGATAATTAAGGGAAGTGGAGATTTAAAGCAGTTTTCCCAAGAACGCAAAAATTAGTTGTTGTTGTTTTTTAAAGCAGCTGTAGGGATTTTTTTTCCTAAAGTATCTATATTACATTAATGATAAACTCAAGGTGATTAGTTTTTTTCTTTCTACAGCTGTACTAGATAAGCTTCAACACATCCATTCCAACAAATGAGAATCTTGAAGGGAAGTCAGAACAACAGGAAAGGTGGAGTAGCAGGTATTAATCACTGGTGACTTTCCTATCATTCCCTTCCCTTGGGGTATACAAAGGCTCTCAGCCTCATACTAAGCTATACCTCTGGATATTATAAAAGAAATGACAGAATGCAAGGTAACAGGAACTCTCTGACTTTCTCTTTGCAGGAATTGGAAACATCTAAGTGAGGAAGAAAGCAATCCTTAATATCCGAAAACACACCCGTTTTAAATTATTGCTGCCAAATATCTTTGGAACCCTGGTTCTCATTGGAGGTTCAGTCTTGTAGGGATCTCAGCCATAAAGGGCAAGGAACTGAGTGGATGGGACAGCTGTGGTGATACACTTCAAAAAGTATTAGAAAAATATGGAACATTTTAACAGTAAAGAGGAGCAAAACTTTACAACAGTATTTTCCTGGAAAAAGACAGGTGGCCACTGTACCCTGACTTTGGGAAGGATTTCACACATTGGGGAAAAACAGTTCAATAATTCAGAATTCAACACAGTGCCAGGACACAAATGTATTGTGAATGGTACAATTTTCACTCAATTTGGCCTACTCAGAAGAATTAATTATTCTTCCCCCAGAGGTATTTTCTATCTTAATTGGCTTATTTTATTCTTGGGAGTGGGTTAGTTTAATGAGATCTCCTCTGCAGTACTAAAGGCTTTTCTTTTCAGGAATCCTTGCATAAAAGTAAAAAATTAGGCTTCCTCATTGGACAAGGTGGACGGAGTATTTTTTTTTTTTTTAACTGTGCCCATTTTTTTCAGAGAGTGAGATTCAGCATTTTTCTAGACATTACTACCTTGATTTGGGAGCCAAAGGAAATTTTAAGCCCACCTCCAAATAAAGCCACGTCGGCTTTCAGCTGTTACAGTATCTTACAGCTCTCTTCCCATCCCCACTTCGTACCTCTAGAGGGAAACCGAAGCACCTCACTCTGGGTGACCGTGAATACGCTTTTCCGTAAGCTTTATCGGAGATGCTCCAGCCAAGGTCAGCTAGGTCTGAGAAGCCCGTGTGGGCGATCCGCTGCTGGGAATCAAGGTTTGAGTTTTCCAATCACGGACTGATTTGCCTCAGGACGTCATTAGCTCTCGCCCCATTTCATCCAGGGTCTTTCTTGCCCTCCCTCCTCCGTCCCCGCCCCGCCTCATTCTTGGGAAGTTTTAAGAACTTCCAGAAAAGTTACAAGTGCAGTTTACCAGCACGAGAACTCCCAAAGGTGTTCAGGTTTCCTTACCAAGGTTTATATGGAAGGATTCATTCCACGAAGAGAGAAAGAAAAACCCAAAGAAAACAGACTGCGGGTGGGACGGGGCTGATAAGGGTGGGAAATTAGATTGACAACTTTAATTAAGTCAATCATTTGCTCTTTTAACCATTTGGCAACCAGCCCATCCCTCCTCCCTTCCCTCTCCCCTCCCAATCCCGGTTCCTTCCAGTGGCGGAACTCAGACCTGCACTCAATTTGACTTGTAAAGATTGAAGGGAAACATCTCAAAAAGCCCCGAGGCTCGGGACAGTGAAGGAGCCCCGCGCAGCCGAGCGGATGCTAAGATGGCAGGACGCGCCCGGCCTCGCGCCGCAGCCAGGCTGGCATTATTATTGGCTTTTCAGCATTCTCTGGTGTAAACACTTCAACGACTGGGTCACACCAAGAATCTAATTACTTTAGTCTGTAGATTTAAAAAGAACAGAAAATTCTCTCCGGGCACCAAAAAAATGCACRGTTGCCTTTCTGGCTAGCAGGATGTTGTTATCAAGCCAAACATTTAAAAAATAATGAACCTTTTAAGCAACACATTAGCGTATTCTTTGTCTCCTGCCTACCACCCTGGCAGTTCCAACTCCAAGACAATTGCGCCAGAGTTCCGAAGTCTGTTACAGGTTGGGACAGGCTGAAGCAAGAGTGAGCGAGGGGGGTGAGCCGGAGAGGTAGCTCCCATTAAAACAGTTTAAAATACATTTCTTTTTCCTATTCATTCGCGGAGCTCCCGTTTTAGGAGACGATTTTTGGAAACGCATCCTAGCAGACACTCTTTTCTAAACATCTGTTCCCTTCCTGTAATGTAACCACCACCCATTCAAGGTTTCTCATCTCATGAGTTGCCAACGTGGTGAAGTAAAAAAATGTTGGCTCTCTTTAGGGTCTCAAATCTTTCCACAGTGATGGCTAACACAAAGTAACTATTCACTAATAATTTTAAAGTCCTAATATTAATAGTGGGTTATATATCTTTTTGTTTAGTGAGAAAAATTTTAGGAGGGAACCACGTGGAAGTCAAGTAGCCACAATGTTTTAACAAAGCACTTGGTTACAAAAGAAGTTTGCTTTGCAAGGCTACAGAACACCTATCAAGATTTCCATATGAAAAAGCACGACGTACAGAATACTCTAAGGAGAACGCTAAGCAAATTTGCACTTTTTTTTTTGTCAGTGAAACCCCCAATCCAGGCCCAGCACCCCTCACCCCCAGCCCCCAACAAACTACAGAGCACCTAGACTATGATTGATTACGAAAAAGTAAATAAAATTATGCTTTTAAAAGGAAGAATCAAGTATCCAGTAAATTAATTCTTATTCTAATTAGAAAGGCTCAAAACTTTTACCTGTTGCATTATCAATAGAAACTTTTGAAACAACCAAAAGTACAAACTTCCAACATTCAATTTAGCATTGACTATAGATAGGCACTTAGATTTCATTTCAAAACATAAATCATATTTACATTTTAGACACTTAGAAACTCTAGAAGTTTTACTAGGAGAAAAAGAAACTAATAGGTAAAGTGGTTTTTTCTTTAACTTACTCTTTCGCTTAAAGAAGTGAAGTAGGCACTCCAAGTGATTGAACTCCGTGGAGGATGAAGTAAAATGAAAAGGCAAGTTCAGGCACTCAGACCTGGCTATTTAAAGTTTAAAAGTCTGCTGCTGTTTGGTACTTTCCTCACGCCTTCCCCCCAATGAAAGAAAAGTGCTGATACCTCGTAAAAGCTTTTTTCTAACTTGGAGCACAGAGCTTTTAAAAAGTTTCAAGCCACTGACTCAA